TGCACAACAAAATAAAAAATAGAGTGAATCAACAACCCTCAGAATGGGAGAATATATTTGCTAACTATACCTCAGATAAGAGACTGATAACTAGAATATACAGGGAACTCATGCAGTTTATTCCCCCCTCTCCCAAAATCAGCCCAATAAAGAGATGGGCAAATGGGCTCAATAGACAACTCTCTAAGGAAGATATACAAACAGACATAAAGCATATGAAAAAATGCTCAACATTCTTTATCATAAGGGAGATGCAAATCAAAAGCCACAATGAGATACCATCTAACCCCAGTCAGAATGGTTAAGATTTAAAAAATAAAGAATAAGTGCTGGCTAGACTGTGGTGAAAAGGGAACTCTGTATAAATTAGTACAGCCACTGTGGAGAACAATATGGATGTTCCTTGAAGACCTACAAATAGAACTACCATATGATCTAGTAGTTCCACTCCTGGTATCTACCCAAAGGATAGGAATAGACTCAGAAACTAATACTTACACATCCATGTTTATTGTGGCATTATAATTGCTAAGACATGGATCCAACCCACATGTCCACAGACAGATGAGTAGATTGAAAAAAGTATGGTACATATACACTATGAAATACTACTAAGCCATAAAAATTGAGACCCTGGCATTTGACAGAAAATGAATATGGAAGATTTACTGCTAAGTGAAGCAAGCCATACTACAAAAGAGAGGCATTATATGACCCCACCAAATGTCTGCACTCTGGCAGAAATTGAAAGGTCAGAAGGTATTAAAGCAACTGGAGATAGTGGAGGAGGAGGGTAGGAAATGGGGGAGGCCGAGAGGGAAGGAATCGAGGGGGAAAAAGAAACAAAACATTTAAGGGACACAAAAATGGAAAATTAATCTGTTAATGCATACAGTAATATCTTTGACTGGATTAATATACATTGTATTCATGCTAGGAAAATTCATTTTGTATGTTCAAATGATGTAATGTGGTTGAATATAAAAAATAATAAAAGATATTTATTATTTATATTTATTATTTATTTATATTTATTAAAGAAGGATCAGATCCTTTCACTTGTACTTGTTCCATTGAAGTCTTTTCTGAATACCTCAGACTGTATTCACTCATTATCAAAAGGTCTAGTAAATTGAAGTGTTTTCTAATTGATTGCTCTCCCAGATTATAAAGTTCCTTGAAGAACTATGCATTATTATTGTTTATTTCCCAGTGCTCAATAGAGTGCTATGTATATGTAAACATTTAACAAATAATTAAAACTACAGGATTAGTAGGTGGCATAGTGGTTAAGGTGGCTGGATCCCACATGGCTGACTGTGTGGTTCCTGTTCCATACCTGGTGGAGCTTGTGAAACACTCCAGGCATGTGCGCATGCCCAAAATCCAAAAGGAGAGTGAAATGGAGAAAATATGGTGATGTGACTATTACTCATATAAGGTCCTTCTCCCTCCCTCCACTCCTCCCTCTCTGTCCTTATTACTCCAGCATACATACACCCTCTGGCAATTTTTTTTTTAAGTCATTGACTTCCAAAACTACAAAACAAGCTTGCTAATAGAATGGTAATATAAATAAGCTATACCAAAAAAAGATTGTACTCATATGTATTCTTTAAAAAAAAGGAATAACACCAGGTAAGTGGCCCACATCTGTAATTCCAGCTACTCAAGGCTGAGGCAGGAAGTTCATGAGTTCAAGTCCAACCTAGGCAACATAGTGAGATCTTGTCTCTAAAATAATAATTTTTTAAATGTAATATTCTAAAAAACAACAGTTTTGAATATTTTGTTCCGTGTGGAGAACTTTCATTTGTTCCTATCTCTGTCCCCAACCACCTCTGTCCCCAGTCTTTTCACCTTCTGCTTTGCTTTTTCATCTCTTTTTAATGCTTTGGTATGCTTAGATTAAGAAAATACAGGGAACCAGCAGTTAGCATAATGGCTATGTCGCTGGACTCCCACGTAGTCGACTGCGGTTCACGTCCCGGACCCAGTGGCTTAAAACTCACGCCGGGCGCGTGTGCGTGCGTGCCCAAGATCCCGAGAGGAGAATGGAGGAGAAGGGATTGCGGCGTGACCATCCCCCCTGGGGGGTGATTTCTCGCTTTCTGTCTCTATATCTGTCTCTGTCTATCTGGCGAGTACACGCGCCCTATAGCAAAAACTTCTCTAAAAAAAAAAAAAAGAAAATACAAAATTCTGCCTGAAGTAAACATTCCCAAAACACATTTATAAGAGTATATGATCTGGGGACCAGCAGACAGTGTAATGGCTACGTTGCTGGACTCCCATGTAGTTGACCGCAGTTCGGGTCCTGGACCTGGTGGCTTAAACTCACACTGGGCATGTGTGTGTGCGTGCCCAAGATCCCAAGAGGAAGATAGAGGAGAAGGGATTGCGGTGTGGCATCCCCTCTAGGGGGTGATTTCTTGCTTTCTGTCTCTCTGTCTCTCTCTATCTTTCTGGCGAGTGCACATGCCCTATAGCAAAAACCTCTCCAAAATGAAAAAAAAAAAAAAGAGAGAGAATATGATCTGAGGTACTGTCTTTATTTTACATTGACTGTCTAACTTTCATAAAACTACTGATTTTTATTTGCTTATTTTTAATTCTTAACATAGGTTACTGTTCATTTTCATAGCAAGTTAAATAAACAAAAGCATCTTATTCATTAGCATAAAAGATAACTACAAATCCAAACTTTCAGAAATAACGTCAACTATTCATTTTAAGACCCAATGACTCTGTCTATAAATGATCCATTTAGCCCTTTACCTCCCCCCCTTCCACTCTTTAGATAACCAGATTAGCTGGTCAGTTTTTTACTCAGCACCTAAAGGTTCACTAAAGTAAAGAAATGGATCAGTTTTCACCTTGCAGCAAATTTGTCTTTTCTCTGCATTATTTTATTAGTTAGTTGGTGGTAAAGGAGGGAAGTCATTATATTTCCCATAAACTATACATCTAAGAAAAAATAACTTATTTTCTTGGAATGAGGAAAATAGAACATAGATATTTGATATACAAAACTGTATCCCCAGATGGCTTCAACAATGCAAAAATCTCTTTTTTCCAGTTGGTGTGGTGCTTGAGGGTTAGCTAAGATGTTGGAGATCATGTAAAGAGCTTAAAGAAATGAAGGCTTTTGGTAATCTTTCAGATGAGGACCTAAAACTATGCCTACTTTACTGTAGTGCCTAGTTTACAAGATATAACAATGCATAGTTTTTGCTCATTACTTGTAGAAATATAGTATACAAATAGTAATACCTCATTTATATAGCATTATAACTGACTCTTCAAATGAATATGCCCACCTCTATTTATTTTTTAAAAAAATATTTTAAGCTGGCCTTAACCATTTACATATTATATTTCTTAAAAACAATTCTTTGGTTGGTTGTTTTTTTGAATGTTCAATATATGCCTGGGATTGACCCATACTCTTTTTTTTTTATATTTTATTTAAATTTATTTATTTATTTATTCATTTGTTTATTTCAATTTGACCAGAGAGGGACAGAGTGAGAGAGAGAAAGAAAGTGAGAAAGCAAGCCACCAAGTCTAGGACTCCAACTGTGGTCAACCGTGTGGGAATCCAGCGCCCCCAACCATCACACCACCTGCCAGCCCCGAACCATACTCTTCATATACAGTACCTTATCTGATCTTTATAAGACCCAATGAAATAGTTACTTTTTCTAATTTTTTTTTAAGCTGTAGTGTGTATGTACTCATGGGAGAGAGACAAACTCACAGAGAGAGGGAGAAAGTAAGGAATCATCCCCTGGGGGATAGATATCCCACAGTCCCTTCTCCATTCTGCTATCAAGATTTTGGGCACATACACACACCTGGCATGTTTTTCAAGCCTCTAGGTCCAGGACTTGTATTGTGGTCAGCTATGAGGGATCCAGCCACCTTAATCTCCATACCATCTACTGTCTACTAGTTTCATTTTATGGTAACCGAAGTAAGGTTTAGAGAGATCAAGACTTTACTAAAGAATTAAGTAGGTAAGTGGTAAATTCAGACACTCCAACTCCAGAGCCTGAGCTTATAACCACTGTGGTTTAGAGCATGGTCCTCTTTTTCTTAAATATACTGAGCATAATCTAACCACTCTTGATAGCTTAGAGTCACCATCAACGACTGTGGTAATGTATTTGTTTTCTTTCATCCTTTGCTACCAGTAGTCAGCTCTGCTATCATTTACTGCCATTTAATCTGCAATGACTTAAGAAATGTGACAGTTATATTTGTTAAAATTGTTAATAAAACAGGACCAGCAGATCGCATAATGGCTACGTCACTGGATTTCTACATAGTTGACTGCAGTTCAAGTCCTGGACGCAGTGGCTTAAACTCATGCCAGGCATATGTGTCTGTGTACCCCAAATCTCGAGAGAAGAGACTGTGGCATGACCATATCCCCCAGGGGGGTGATTTCTTGCTTTCTGTCTCTCCATCTCTGTGTCTCTGGCAAGTGTACTTACCCTATAGCAAAAATCTCTCTTTAAAAAAAAAAAAAATTGTTGCTCCAAATGACTGTCTGAGACCATCTCTAGTAAAGTGTATGGACTTTTTGAAAAATATTTCAGTGTCTCAAAGACCTTTTTCCTTTCCTTTATTTTTGTAGTGTGATAAGTGAATGAGACTAAAAAAGACTGAGAAAATTGCTAAGTTCCTTATCAATGAAAATTTTCTGTATTATGAGTTTTTATATGTTAATATACTGTTTGCTTCCTAAAAACACAAAATACAGAAGCTGTGAGGAAAATCTGAGGCAGGAGGAAGTGTTTTTATTTATACGTGAATTTTATTAACCTGTGTTACCTTCCTTGTTGATTCTGACTGGTAAGAGTTAAGTAGTAAAACTCTGACCATATCATGGAAGAAAACACTGACCCAAGAGAAAAAACAATTTAATACATCATTTTAATCCCCACCACCACCACCCATTCCCGAACCTTACAAGCAAAGAAAGTATTTCTTACCTTACTGAACTGTCCAACCACATGCTTCAGAATATTGGGAGGTGCATCATACAGAAATGGCTCAAGTGCTGGTAGGTAGGTGCATTTTTGAAGGATATTCTTTATGGCTTTTTTACTCTATTGAAATACAAAGCAAAATGCAGGCATGAGTGAGTATATCAATGAAAATTTGAAAAGAATTCATGCCTCATGTTCCTGGAATTTGCAAATGAAATCAGTTTCCTAGTCTAATCTGTAGTCTTATTTTTAAAAACAGTTAACAGAGAACCCTTCTTTTTTTATTGGTTTATCATAGAATACTATAGTAGTTATCTTCATGTTTAACAAATATATGTGAAAATAATTTAGTTTATTGTAGAATCTCATTATCAAACATTCTATATTCTCCAGAAGATTTATGACTTATACACAGTCAGAAATGTCTACCATGTTCATTATTCAATGAACATTTGCAGATACACTCCTGTAGCTCATGGATAGAAATGTCCCCATTTACAATTATAAGCAAAACAGACAGGATCTACTCACCTATTGAAAAAAGTTCCTCTCAATGGTAGGAAGCGTATCATCCATAAGCAAAGAGGTATATACATCCCTTTGCCACTCCTCTGTGTTTCAAAGTGACATTATGTAGTACTGTCTCTCTGCCATAGCATGCCTCAAAAGAGCCCTGATGTGACTGTAGCACATTGTAGCAGTCAGCTCTAAGGCCATGGCTGGTTGACTTTCTATTAAAGGGTGGCACCTTCATATTGGAAAGCATCACAACAATTATTTGTCTACAAATATTTTCCACTATAATTCCACATTGGGTTGTATGTGGTTTTGTGTTCTAGACCAACCTTTACAGCCTTTTCTCTGTTTATGTATTCTCTCTCTGAGGTCTGGGATCATGATTTTACTCTTGAATGTTTAGTAATGCTCTTGAAATGTCAAGGAGAATTTTACTTTTGAAATCATAAATTTTATAATTGCTAAATGGATCCAGCAAAAATTTTCAACACATTTACATTATCTCTTTAAGATTTCCCAGAGACCTAGGCTGGCTAGTCTTATATAATCTCTCATTTCTTGACATATTCATTGCAACAATGTTTCATAAGGTAGATTAAATCGTTAAAGCACTGGATCCCACATGGTCCACTCCACAGTTGGAGTCTCAGACCTGGCAGCTTGAAAAACACACTGGACATGTATGTTATATGCCCAAAATCCTAAGAGAGAATGGATAAGAAAGGGATTGCACCGTGCTATCCCCCCTGAGGGGGTGATTTCCCACTTCCCCTCTCTCTTTCTCTGCTGTCTCTCTCTGGCCAGCGCATACACCCTATGGCAAAAATCTAAAAAAAAAAAGAATCTTTTGGGAAATATATGCTGTCTACATGGGCTGAACTGCAAAAAAAAACCCCAATAAAATAAAAACAACTAAATAAAGAATGTAAAGAATGCAGCTCAACTTTTTTTCTCAAGTGACATAACAAAAATTAGAATTAAATTCCCAACACACCTTGGTATACCTTTGTGAACCATCTTAAAATCATGGTGACCTTAGCAGGCCAACAAATTTAACCTGTTATCAGTGGCCAGGTCTACTAACCATATACCTGAAGTCATTATCCACTGTACCACTTAGATGGCCTTACTCTAATTCTAATAGTTCCAAATTGATGGTATACTGTCACATTGTTAATCAAGAACTGTAGGTGGGACCAGCAGTTAGCGTAATGGCTATGTTGCTGAACTCCCATGTAGCCAACCGCGGTTCAAGTCCCGGACCTGGTGGCTTAAAACACCAGGCGCGTGTGCGTGCGTGCTCAAGATCCCAAGAGGAGAAAGGAGGAGAAGGGATTTCAGTGTGGCCATCCTCCTGGGGGGGTGATTTCTTGCGCGCTCTCTCTCTCTCTGTCTCTCTGTCTCTCTGTCTTTCTGGTAAGCGCACGCACCCTATAGCAAAAAACTCCAAAATCATCATCATCATCATCATCATCATCATCATCATCATCAAGAACTGTAGAGGGCCAACTCTGTTGCCTGGTGGTCAAGGCAGCCAGATCCCACATATCCAACCACACAGTTCAAGTGATGGACCCAATGGCTTGAGAAACATGCCAGATGCAAAATAGATGTGTACCCAAAATCCCAAAAGGAAGGAGAGATGGAAGAGAAGGGATTATGGCATGCCCACGCCCCATAGAGAATGTTTTATCCCCTCTTTCTCTGGCAAGTGCACACACCCTCCAGCAAAAAGAAACAAACAAACAAAAACTCAAGGAAGGTATCTATAATGGTACTAAAAATTCACTGAGCTATTGAATATTTTTCTTCTGGAAGAAGTATACTCATATTTTCATTCTTGTTTTTAGCTATAGAACATGTGCACTTGGCCAAAGAGAGTGAGAAATCACCCATCAAGGGGGATAGCCATGCTGCAGATCCCTTTTTCATCTCTTGAGAACTGAGACATGCACATACACATTTTCAAGCCACAAGTTCAAGATTTGAACTGCAGTCAGCCATCTGCAAGTTCAGCACCTTAACAACCAAGCCACCTGCTGGTCCCTATATTCAACTTTTGACTATAGTTTTATATATAATAATGTATGTCATGATTAATAATCAGTTAGGGGGCAGGTGGGTGGCATAGTGGTTAAGAGTGCTAAACTCCCACATGGCTTACCACAGTTCAAGTCCCAGACCTGGTAGCTTGCTTTCTCACTTTCACTCTCAGTCCCTCTCTGGTCAAATTAAAATAAATAAATAAATAAAGTTAAATAAAGTAATTCAAAAAAAAATCAGTTGGATTATCCATCATAAAAGAAATATTAGTTAAGATTTTATTTATATTTTATTTTATTTATTTTTTTATATTTTTATTTATTATATTTTATTTATATTTCTATTTCTGAGATTGATATTTTAATAACTTTATTGAGATATAATTTATATACCACAAATTCACTCATTTCAGATATATCCTGTTATACTGTGCTTAGCTTTATTATACTTCATAGACAGTGCATTTTTTACAAATTCAAGGTTTCTGATCACCCTGCATTGAATGAGTCTATCAGTTCCTCTTTTTTTTTTTTTTTTTTTTACAATGTGCTTATTTCCTGTCTCTGTGTCACATTTAGGTAATTCTCTCAGTATTTCAAACTTTTTCATTATGGTTATATCTGTTATGGCAAGCTGTGATCAGTCTTCTTTGTAATTGTTTTGGGGTACCACAGACTATGAGCAAATGACTACAAACTTAATCCATCACTGTTGCGTGTATTTCACCTGCTCCACTAACCAGCCATTTCCCCATCTCTCTAGGCCTGTTTCCTCAGACACAACAATATTAAAGTTAGACCACTTAATTCTACAGTGGGCTCTAAGTGTTCAAATGAAAAGAAGAATCACACATCTCTCTTACTAGTATTAAGATTCTTATCAATGACGGTGAATGTAAAGGTAATAAAGACATATTCCTACTATTGTTAAATAGAAATCGCATGCTTTTAAAAAAAATTGCCAGAGGATATGTACACTTACTAAAAAGAGACAGAGAAGCAGAGAGAGAAAGCACTCCCCAGTGGAATGTAGTCGTACCATAATCCCTTCTCCTCTATTTTTTCATCTTATTGGGATTTAGGGCACACATGAACACATGCCTGGTGTATTTTTCAAGCTGCCAGACCCAGGATTCAAACTGCAGTTGGCCACATTAGATCTAACTCTCTTAACCACTAGGCTATTAGACACCAGCACCATATCTCACTTTAAATCGAAAGCAAGAAATGAGGCCAAGTTGTGAATACAAAGGAAATGTTCTTTAAGGGAATTAAAAATGCTACTCCAGTGAACACACAAATGACATGAAAGCAAAACAGCACTATTGCTGATATGGAAAGTTTTAGTGGTCTGGATAGATCAAACCAACCACAACATCCCCTTCAATCGAAACCTAATCTAAAGATGGCCCCTACTTCTCTTCATTTCCATGAGACTGAGGGAGGTAAGGAAGCTTCAGAATAAAGGTTTTAAGCTAGCAGAGCACAATTCATGAGGTTTAAGGCCAGAAACTCTCTCGATAATACAAAATTGCAAGGTGAAGCAGCAAGTGCTGGTGTAGAAGCTGCAGTAAGTTATCTGGAAGATCTAGCTAAGATCGTTGATGAATATGGCTACATGAAACGTTTTCAATGTAAATAGCCTTATTTTGGAAGAAGACCCCATATAGGACTTTCATAGCTGAAGAGAGGTCAATTTTGGCTTCAAAGCATCTAAAGACAGGCTAACTCTCATCTGGAGCTAGTAGCTGGTGAATTTAAGTTGAAGCCAATGCTCATTTTACCATTCCAAAAGCCTAGGGATCTTAAGAATTATGCTAAATCTACTCTTCCTTAGCTCTGTAAATGGAACAATAAATCCTGGATGATAGTACACTTGTTTACAGAATGGTTTACTGAATATTTTAAGCTCATTGTCAATACCTACTACTCAGAAAGAAAGATGCCTTTCAAAATATGACTGCTCATTCACAATATGCTTGGTCACCTAAAAGGTTTGATGGAGATATACAAAGAGATTCATCTTGTTTTCATGCCTGCTAACATAACATCCCTTCTGCAGCCCATGGATCAAACAGTAATTTCAACTTTCAAGTCTTATTATAATATTTAAGAAATATATTGTATGAGGCTATAGCTCCCATGTAGTTATTCCTTTGATGGACCTGGGCAAAGTAAATTAAAAGCCTTCTGAAAAGGATTTACCATTCTACATAGCATTAAGAACATTCATGGTTGGAGGTAAAAATATGCATATTAGCAGGAGTTTTCAAGAAGTTGATTATATCCATCATGGATGACTTCAAGGGTTTTAAGAATTTGGTGGAGAATATAATTGCAGATGTAATACAGATAGCAAGAGAGTAGAAGCAGACCCTTAAGATGTGACTGAATTGCTATAATCTCATAATAAAACATGGGGAGATCTCAGATTTGGGCTGGTACTCCCAGTACACACTAGGCACACAAGTATGTGCTTGTAATCTCTGCTGATGGGTGTTGGGGAGGAGTTGCAGCATGAATACCTGTTAGGGGTGCCTATCTCTCTCTCATTCTCTCTCC